GTGTTGAGCATTTTTATTTCAACATAACCCAATAAAATGTAGGTATAACATACGTGTGTTTATCAACATGGTACGAGAAATATTTATATCTTCTTCAGGATTTTCACTTTTACATATAAATATATATATTTAGATTTCACTTAATTGTGTACCCGATGTTCGGGTAGGCTTTGTAAATTTACATTCATCCTGTTGCATAGTTATTTATTGATTGTACAAAGATTCAAAGAGATCTTACGACAATGAACTGAAAGAATTAATTCTGTTCTATAGAGGTATACAATTACAACATGAATTGCATGTTTTACCAAAACAAAATGTCCTTCTTTCAACAGCTATAAAAATAATTCTTACGAGCGGAATAAAAATCGCTAACTACACATCCACAAAAAACCTACGACGTCCCAGGCGGGATATAAGTTCGCCTTGGGTTCGGCAATTAATTTAACCAGAAAAAAATATATACAGCTAGCACGAAGATAACATACGACTTCGTAACAGCGCGCGGGAGACATAAAAAAGGATGAGGGTAGGAACCATCAGTGCGAAATCGAGGAGCGCACTGCACATAAGGCATCTACAGCGAAGTAAAGAGTGAAACACACTCAGATTTTATCATCTTTTTGTTAGCATACGTTATAAAATGACTGATGAGATTTACAACAATTTTGTAGAAGTAACTAACTGTACAAAAAGATCTTGATTGGCTGTTCGTTGGTCGAAATAAAATATAATGTAAAATAACAAATACATAGAGTATGTTTGCAACTTAGTATAATTGCAACCTAGCCTACAACCAATCAGACGACAAGTAGTAGCCGTCGCCCACATACGTGTATTCAAAGCCTTCGTCAAAGTCTACCTAGGTAGTATTAGAGATAGAGAATAGTACTTCAAAGTTGATTGATGGTTAGTAAATTGGAAATTAATAAAATTAACACAAAAGCAACTAAAGTTAGTCGGTTCGCGCTGCCTAGTTCGAACAATTTAGTTTTTTCAAACGAGCCGATTTCCTATTGACTGAGAGTGCGACAAATGCTCGTTCAATTTTCCATGTCGCTAGGCACTCTTTTTGTTCGTGTATACATTCTATATACGAGTACCAGTTGAAACACACGTTACCGCAAAAAGTCACTCATATGTTTTCGTGTAGGGGGATAAATCTATTTTTTGTGAATACAAATGTAAGTACAGCTTCCAGTTTGCTTATATGTATATTTCGACTGGCCCTGCAAGTAACTGAACTACTAGAAGTCAAAATATTGGGATTAAATTGTTTAAAATTTTTTTATTGTCATTTTATTATTTAGACAGTTCATAGAATTAGCTTTTGTAAAAGGAATTGAAATATACTATAAATGAGATTACAATATTTTTGTACAATTTATCAAATAATACAGTTAATATTAATAACAATTATAATATAATATTTTCCCTTATGCCTCGATAGGTTCAAACCATCGTCATACCACTCGCGATAATAAACATTTCGTACTATATACAATTCGCTACACAGAACGGAATTTCTATTAAAATGCGAATCAATACTGTACTGCGATTTTAATTTCGTATATTCTTTAATCGCTGAACATTGATTGAAATTCAAGTTGACTATATAGTATAGTATAGTACTTATACTTTAGTATATACATACTAAAGTATAAGTACTATATATAGCCTACTCTACCTTATTCTGAATGGTAAAAAGGTCCACCTTTATTATATATAGTTATATAACACAATATTTCATGTACTTTATTAAAAGTTCCAAACTTTTATTTTATCCGAAATTTTCTTCCCAGTAATCTTAGGGTTTGTTTGATTATCTGAGGGAATTGTTGTTTTATACAGAGCGATGGCTATCGAACCTTCGCCGACTGTAGACTTTGCCAGACTCATCTCAAAACTAGTCCATTTTAACGACAGTCATTTCAATTGAATGATAAGAACTAGTGCCAACGTGTAAGTACCACGGAAGCGTAAAACGTGTTACGATGGTGGATTTAAGGCGAATTGGTTTAATAAAATAAAATTGCCCGTTAAAATAATATATTTTATCCCTCGGCGCTGTTTGCCTGAATTTTGAGTAAAAATTATACAATGTGTTTAGATTGTGATCTATCCGTATACCAATATCTATATGAGTTTAGTAGTTTTGAATAAAATAGTAATAAACATCCAGTTTGGATCACATTGTTTTAGCTTTACAATTTTAATAGAAACGATTTCATAAAATGGTTACTTAATTACTTTGATTTATTATATTTGGATGAGCAAATTTTACTTAGTAATAAAATTGCTAAAGATTATTAATTGACATAGATAGGACAATTCAATATGATCACTAAAATGTAAAATTATACCTACTTACTAAAATAAATAAATAAATTAATTAATTGGAAGACTGGTTTATGATGACCTGTATCAACAAACATAGTAATATCTATTGTGCAAATACTATAACTTTCACATAGTATAGTAATATCACTTAAATATGTGGCGTGGTGGAACAGGTCATTGAGTTTCCTAAAATATAGTGCAGCGCAGTGTTAACTGACTCACCCGTTATACTCGTGAACGGGTGCTGCTTGTAGGGACTCGTCTACTCTGATAACTATGATTGATTTATTTTATTATTCAAGTGATTCTATTTATTTACTTTTGTCAATTTTGCTATCTGGCAGTTTGTTTTCACCAAAAACCTTAAATGTCTAATGTTGGACAATATTTACTTAAAAGAACAAAACGCAGTTTTCACAATGAGTTGTAGAATAAAAAATTTATATTTTTTCAAAACTGCTTATAATTAAAGTTTATTTAAATAAAGAAAATTTCTATCTTTAGCGAAGTCGACGAAGTACAGAAGGTCGAGTTTTTTATAACCTATTTTATGTTATCGTTATTTACCCTACAGTTATCTTAGAAAATAAATAATTCTAATACAATTAATTCATTTAAATTATTTACACTGCGCTGACGATTTAATGATGATATAACCTATCATAGAAATACTCACGAATTATCCTTTGTCATAAATATTAATAGAATCTATCTGTATTAATGATGTTATTACGCCGGCTCTGATAAACTATAGAGAAAATATAGATGCTTTACATAAATTCAACTACTGTTTATTCCGTATAAATAATATATATCAAATAGTTTGTATTTTGTTTACCAATCAGCATGAAATAACAGAATATTGTGAATTAGTACAGTTGAAATTAGAACTTTATATAATCATCCTGCTTTTGAAAGAAACTTAAAAAAAGTACGTTATATATCCGTGTAATAATCGTGTTGTCAATATTCACAACAGTTGTTAAGTAATAAAGTTCATTCAATCTGCATTTAGATATCTAATTTCACGCGTCGCCAGTCATTGTGGCTACGACTCTTTTAAGGGCTCTTAACTCCTTGTAATCCTATATAATATAATAAGCTATGTTTTTAAAAGCATCTTAATTAATTATTACGAATACTTAACTTATAGCAATACATATCGATTTAAAAACAATTTGATATTTTAATTTAGTAGAAAAAAACCTGTCATTTGGCATATTTAACAAGGGAATTGCATTGTAGGAGTTTTAGGTTAAAGGATACCATTTCGTTTTAAAAATAAATAGATATAAAGTTAACATCAATTTCCATGTTTTGAAAATTTTTAGTTCATTATAATAATACACGAATGAATGATTACGTTTGTGTATTATTAAATATAAAATTTTAATATGCAGATAGAAAATATTTATAGATAATTTTATAAATAAATATACTACATACTACTACATTAATAACAATATTGTAAATATCTAAAAAAATATAAAACGGTTGAACGTATTTTAACGAAAGACGCGAAGATACTGTTGGAAGCTCCGACAAAAATAATTATAAATACCTTTTTAGTATTCTATTTTATAATGTTTTAAACAGAAAACTGTGTTGTCAAGAATACGATTGTCTTTTGTTTATTGTTCCCTACACAATTTTGGTGCTTTTTATTGTGTGTTTTGGTTTCAACGATCACATCCACACACCTCTTTGAGATAGAGATATGTGTATATAAAATTCCCGTGTCACAATGTTAGTTATCATACTCCTCCGAAAAGGCTTGACCTATTTTTATGAAAATTTATAATAACAATAATAATTCGTTATGTATGAAGAAATCATAAATAGAGCAAATAAAAATTTGTCCAAAACAATAAATGTTTTACATAGTCTTATTGCTATTAGCAATCTCTAATAGACAACGTGGGATTTTGTATACATATTCAATAAGCCTGGGAATCGGCTATCTACTATCTATTTTTATACCCCAGGGTTATCCACTCCTAACATTTTTTAATGTGGCATTAAAAAATATACAACCCTAAATTTTCACCATTCTACCACCAACCCCTAATTTTTTATTAGCGATATTGGCACTTATATTTATATGACAAAATAACGTTTGGTAGGGACAGCTAGTGTTTTATAAAACTTTAATATAAATTTTTTAAAAGTAATCTTACGTTATAAATCTGAAGTCCTCATGACATTTTATTAAAATAAAATGTGTTCAAGGCTTAGTCTATATTTAGAAATATTCACGTGAGATTTAAAGTTTGCGGAATATCTAGTAATACCGCAAATTAACATTCAGTTCGTACTCTCTGGAAGCCGTGTTAAATTTTATTGCTATACTTCATTTCTGTAGGAACATTGTTGCAAATATCAAGGGGTTTTTGCGTTTTGTGTTTAAAATTTCCTTTATATAACTTTTTGAACTTAATTATGTTTACTTTGCTCTAGAGTAATATTAGATTTTTACCTTAGATTTTCTCTGGTAATACAGTGAATATTTAAATAACGCATATTATTTGTATTTCAAATAATTACTTTAATTTATTAAGTATAATTTATTCTAATCGAATTTGCAACATTTGAAAGATGTTTTAAAGAACATGGTCGATTATTATATAGGGGAAATTATTTATGATCTATATTGTTTTTCAAAAGTAAACATGAAATATTTTTTTTATGAAATTCCTCGAAAACATGTACAAAATATTTTTGAGAACTTTTTATACAATAATTATGTAGATGAATGTGTATTAGTTTTTATCCATTCGCGGGACCTTACATAGCTCCCTTTTGCAATAAATCAAACAGCAACCAAGGTCCTGGGTCTCAGAGATATGTGTATAAAGTCTTATTTATATGCCGCTACCCCCATTGAAACTTGCTGCAATTTTCTCACACGGGCTTTTATTTTGATTTACTGCTGTGAGAAAAGAAGAAACATAACAGTAAGACGGGGGTATCTTATTTTTGTAATAATTTTCAAACGAATTTTTGTATACAGAAGTTATATTATAATATATATATGTATAGTATTTAATTACAACAAGCTGATGGTAAGTTAATTATATGCATTAATAAAAAATGAATTATCAGATAGGTCGTCAGCTTGTTTGTAATTATACACAAAAAAGAAAACCCGCTTGTTCTTGAAATCTTGATGTCAATTAGCTTTATTTCTTAAATTATTTAAAATATTTTGCTGTCTTACCATTTAATAAATCATCATTGCTTACCTGTAAAAAGAAGAGAAATATGTTATTTTTAACACTTTGTAATTAAATAAAACATAATTATTATTATTACAGTAGTACCTAAATTTATTAAAAATGAATTTTTAATAATAAAGTGTCCTCATCTAACTCATCTATTTTAAAAGTCGAGTTACAGGGTTGGCACCCTGTATGCCAAGATACCATGAGATCTAGTGACGAGCGTTGCTTTGATATTCGTGATGCTGTTTAATAAGTCGAAACACAACAATTATAAAAATAAATATCTGAAAAACTTGATATTAAATAAACTCAAGCATAAAATTGTGATGTACAGTGTTGTTTTCCCGTCGTTTTACTTTTATAAATCAGCGCGCTGCCTACTGGATTGTGTCGCAAGGTTGTCAGTTCGAAATTTGAAAAAATAATAGTGCGGTTATGGAATATAACTTTACTATTTGCGTATATAATGCACTCTGGTTTTATGAGCGGCTTTATATTATCAAAAACAGGTGAAATTGATCCATTTTACGAGCAAGTGGGTTGAAAATTTGTTTTATACTATACAATATTAAAAGCATCGAATGTAATCAAAATATCTAAATTCAATACTTTTATTCATAGAATAGATATAAAATACACTTTAACGACCATACATAACACCGTCAAATCGTTTTCTAGCCGTAAAACAGCCAACGACAAATATTCTCCGTAACGTGAAATCTTTGAAGTGTTCGTAACAATTTTAATATTAACAGAACTTTTTCTTTACTAACTTGGATGAAGTAATTTTTATGTTATGACGCTCACAATCTCATTATGATTAAATTGGAACATTTTCTCTGTAGCTGTTTTTTAATTTTAACATCATATTATTATACTACGGGCTGTTTCATACTTTTCTAATCGCTTTTATCTTGTTTTGCTCGTAAAGTTCTTAGGTTTTCACTTAAAATACTGCTATAATAAGTATATATATAAAGAAATTCTTTATAATAATATAATAACTAAATAAATATTTCAACAATTCAAATTTTGGCGCGTTCCGCGCTGTTGATTGCAAGGTGTGTCAAAGGGAGCTGTCAATAGAAATAAAATAAAAATGGATCGTGCAAAAACAAGTGTGCGTGAATAAGGTTATATAAAATATATTATAAACTTTAAATGTCGTTTCTTTGTTTACAGAGAAACAAATTTTAGTTTATTTTATAAAGAAACCCTGAAAATATCATATATATATATATATGAGTATATAAGAAAAACACATCAGTACTACTATTATAAACATTTGTATTCCTGAGTTCTATAGATGGTTCTATAGATAGGAGTATTTTCTATGTATATATATTATGTATGTAGGTATTTAAAAAAAGTATTTCTATCAGTTATCTAGTAACGATAATACAAGCTCTGCTTAGCTTGGGACCAGATGGCGATGTGTGAATACCTTAGGGTTATTATTATTATTTAAATTCCTTTTTCTTCTTAAACAATATAGGCTGGTGTATATACATACATTAGTTGTGGCATAAGTGTGTCGATTGAGAGACAGTGGTATGAAAAAGAATTTTAGCAGCGGCATATACGAGTAGAGAAGTACTATTTTAATAAACAGTTTAAAAATTAAAAACAATTACATTAAAACAAATATACATATATTTATATATAAACAATGTATGTAAATTCACATGTACACACATATACAATAATATATGTTAATTGTATCTATATTTTTATATTCTATAATTGTTCTTGGCTTAGAAATAATCTAAACCAAAGTTAATAACATCCAAATAACTCGGTTGTTAGATGGTGCGTGGTAGAGTTGAATGCGAAAGGCGTTCGTGTTTTGGCTACATTTTATGAACAGTTACTGAAGATTGGACGAGGGATGAATAAATGTGGAATTTATTTAACGGAAAGGGAGAGGTACAAAGTTCTGTAATTTATTTCTGGCCGAAGTGACGTGTCTTGTTCGATGCGGTCGCAACCTATATTAGAAGTTGAATTACTTGCGACCGCAGTGACGGCAAATGTGTTGGAATTGGGTGGCTTTCGCGAACTTATAATAAGTCAATTTGAAGAATTATGGTCTGGACTTAATAGAGCTTGAACGGGCTTCAAATGAGTATTGGTGATGGTTGTGTTAGTGCAGTTATTATGAATAGTGGTGTAGTTAAAAAGAAATAAATCTATATTAATATTATGAAGAGGAAATATTTGATTGTTTGTTTGCATTGCATATAATGGCTCCAAAACTATTGGACCTATTGGAAAAAATCTTTTACCATTGCAATCTTACATTTTTTCATATTAACTCTGATAAACACATGGAGTAGAATACTTTTAAGAACGTTAGGTTACATTATTGAAGTTTTCATACGGGCTGTACGAACACTTCAATAATGTAACGTGTAAAAAAATACCAAAAAACTTTATTGCGTACACTGCGAAAATTATTGACAATACTGCTTTAAAAAGGACAACTTAAATATCTACAAAATACTGCGACATTACTGTGTATGTCTGACTTAATAGTCGTGGTCATGTCATAATAATTACTTTCAAGTTAAAATATGCAATGGTAACGCCTGCATAAACTTCGTCATGTCATTCGTACTTTTATGATATTGAATTTTTTGTTATAAACTTGTGTTGCTAACCTGGGCGGATGGCTAATATAAAATATTTTCTAAGTTAAGAGAAATTACAAACTAAGAGCGTGGCCACTATAGCAGGTGTGTATGAGCACTATACTCGTAAGAGGTTTACTACCCCAAATCTACGGTCGTCGTTTCCAATCTGCACGACACCAAAAACTTTATGTGACAACTTAGATTTTCGTTTCATTCACTTGTAATGGAAAAATCAATAGTGAATCAAAACTGATGAACATTCATGCATGGTTACTCTCGTAATATATCATATATTTACATTGTAATATTTATCGAAAACTATACAGATTGAATCACTTATGTTTGAGGCATAAAAGCTGCAGGCTGCAGGAATAGCAATTTATGATGGGTACTGCGGCCGTTACCTTACAATGTATTCTATGAGATCCTGTTCATTATAGTTCTTTATCCATAATGCCCATATATACATATTCTCTAAAACGGCAATTCTGACCACTTTCTGTTTATTCTCTTTAGTTTTTAAAACTTTATTGCACTAATACACAAATAAAGGTGTACACTTAACACCTTTCGACATTTTCTCTCAATCAACCATGGGGCGAACAGAGATTTTTGTTGTTAAAAAAAACAGTGTATATGTATGTATGTTTTAAAGTAGTATTTGGTAGTAAGATTATTAATATTAATAAAAAGAGACCTTTCGAAAATATAATTGTGTGTACAATTTGCTAATTATATATATTTTTATAGATATGATAATTAAATATACTCGTACATGTATATGTATATATAACGATATACACATACATGTATGCATGTTACGAGTGCGTGTGTACGTAAGTAAAGGAATGTTCTAGATGTATTTCTGTGAGAAGGGTGTGTAAGCCGTCATAGTTACGATTTGCAATCACTTTGGAATGAACATGTGCCATCGATGTTAAATGCGTGATTGAGGTGGTGCCATGAGCAACAAAAAATAACATGCAGCTATTTTCCTCGTGACTAGGTACCTAATCGAAAATTTATTGATACAAAATGTTATATTGATCACTAGTTACACGCCCCGGCTTCTATCTCGGTATTCTGCGGATTGTTGACATTTTGAAAAATATAATTAAAATACATTGTATAGTAATAAAAGGTAAGGTTAACAAAATTACCACATCCATTTAATTGTACATCTACAATAAAGGTAAGGAGATAGAGGTAACAATATATAAGGAATTGCTTAGATCACTGGTCCGTTCATTGTATTGTCTGTAATTCCTGGTATGTACTTCGGTAATCCTGTAGCTAGTTTGGACCGTGTTATAAGTAGTAATATCTGAGGTGTTGTATGTATCTAACGTTCGTATCGGAATGTTCACCTTTATAGTTTAGAATAGACCTCATGAAGGCTACGAACGTTAATCAGTATATATTACCAGTATTAACTGTGTACAGTTTAATTTACTAATATATGTACATTAATTTTATTATTCGTGTAGAAATAAATAGGATTTGGTACATGAAGCTGAATTAAAAATTAAAAATTAATATTTTATTTTTTAATAAATCCGCATTCAAATATTAAACTCGTATATAAATGGAATCATGAGCTACCTGAGGAAAAGTGCAACCGTTCCCTATAGACATGAACAGCTCCAAAGACTTAATTATTAAACATTAGGACGTGAGAAATGAGGTGCCACGTCCCCATGCTGTATATTTCCACCGCCATGATTGGATGGATGGATATTTGTTACTGTTTCTCGGATTTGAACGAAACTTTACAGTAATATATATAATAGCTTATGTAACAGAATAAACCATAGGCTATAATTTACAAAGATAGCATGTTAATTGGGCGAAATATAAAAATAAATGTCAAGTAAGTAAAAAATGTATATAAATACTTATTATATCAGTTGTCTAATACCCATAACATAAGCTCTACTTAGCTTGAAACTAGATGGCACTATATAAATTGTCCAGGGTAATATTAATATTATTATCATGTAAAATAATTATTTAGAATTATTTGTACACCGTTTAAATGTAAGTCGTAGTAGAATATAAATGAACAGTTAAGAATTCAGACTATTACTTACAACGCTAAATTACATGGATGCTCAAAATGATAATTCAGAAATTCAGAGCAGCTACCAAAACAAAGTTCAAGACTGTAGTTATTCTCTACAGAGCGTTGAATTTAACATTTAAAATGTCAGAGTGTTAGCAACTGAGAAATAAGTGTGCTCGAGTTAGTTAATTAATATTAATTTTACAACGTGTACACACCTACATACGGTGATATTACTAATGTGGTAGACATTTTGCCATAAATCAAGTAGGTATAAACATATATTTTCATTCCATAACATTCCCTTTTTTAAGCGACAATAAACAAATAAGCTGCTTTATCTGACTGTATATTTTTGTGTGTTGTAAACTTTTTTATTATTATTTTCTTCAAAAGTCGATGCTTCCAACGTGGTCCCATATAACATCGATCAAGATTTGACTAGTAGCTTTTGAGTTGTTTGTATTATGAAGAATGATACTAACAAAAATCCAAATATGTCACGCAGCGGTCCCAATTCATGGAATCCTGAACGGCCATGTTTTTATACCGATATCTGACGAAATTTAAGACAAAATTTAAATGTGCCCATTTAAGATCAAAAAGAAATTTCCAATAATGTGATATATTTCCTGTCATAAGGATATAGTGATAATACTAAATATATACTTGAGGCAGAAACTCAAATATGGCAGACACGGTGCGATGCTGACAAGTGACAAATTTACGACCTCATAACTTACTGGACGTCAGTACCGCGGTGGTTTTGTTTCACAAAATGTTCTTTAATGTACAGGATTGTTGGTAACTTTGTTGGTCTGCGGAGGAAATAAAATACAAAATTCAATACCAAATCTTACTAATATTATAAACGCAAAAGTTTCTGAGAATGGATGAATTTTCCAAAGATATATTCCATAATGTAAAAGGAAATATAAATATGTATAATAATTACGAAGTTATTATTAAGTATTTAATTCAAGTCAAGTCAAATTGAATAATTCAAATTAATATATAACATCTCACTAATCTAAAATTGTATAGCTACTAAGTTGATCATGAAGGAATTTATTAGCTGTATATGTATTACCAATTGTTATCTATGTCTAATAAATAAATTTTAAACAAAATCTATGGACGGATTTTAATGAAAGGTATAGAGACAGATAATTTCTTAGGTTAACACAAAGTACATTTTTA